TAGGGTAAGTGAAGGACAGAGATTTAGGGTCAGTAAAGGGCAGAGATGTAGGGTCAGTGAAGGACAGGGATTTAGGGTCAGTGAAGGACAGAGATTTAGGGTTAGTGAAGGACAGAGATTTAGGGTCAGTGAAGGGTCAGTGAAGGACAGAGATTTAGGGTAAGTGAAGGACAGAGATTTAGGGTCAGTGAAGGACAGAGATTTAGGGTCAGTAAAGGACAGAGATGTAGGGTCAGTGAAGGACAGAGATTTAGGGTCAGTGAAGGACAGGGATTTAGGGTTAGTGAAGGACGGAGATTTAGGGTTAGTGAAGGACAGAGATTTAGGGTCAGTGAAGGACAGAGATTTAGGGTCAGTGAAGGACAGAGATTTAGGGTCAGTGAAGGACAGAGATTTAGGGTTAGTGAAGGACAGAAATTTAGGGTCAGTGAAGGAAGAGATTTAGGATGGGAATAGAAGGCTGTCTATTTGTATCTGTATTTACAGTGTTCAATTTAGACAGGTGGTAGGTAACATTGACACATATATGGATTATATAGGATTTTATAGCTTGCTGGTCTGGTTTATACAGGTTCCTGTATTACACAGGGTTTAAGACGGACTGAGATATGTTTTGTCAAGGTTTTTTATTCACAAGTCCAGGTTTAGATTATAGTTATACTGTACTTCTCTCTTTTCATTAATAATGATCATGAAACATTTATTTGTTTGACCTATAGCTCTTCCCGATATGAACAGCTGTGAGTTTGTCAAATAAGGTCACATAAAATTTGTTAACCTCCCCCTAACTGTCAGGTTGTTAGGTGACACAAAAGGACCAACCAGGAATGCTCAATCACAGCCACCATTATATATCCTGACACATTTCTAGTATATCAGTAAACGACAGAAAAAGAACAACAATAGACATGGGCCTCATTCAAATCTACATAAATAGCACTTATCATCCTCTTAAATGGGGGTACTTTTTGACAATTTGTTTATTTCTGGGTTTTGATGTATTTTATGTCCGGGGGTCATTACTCAGTGACCGGCCTGAAGGTGGATTATGGGGCGTGACACATTCCAGGTATATGTGAACATCTACCTGGGTTTTTTTTTACCTGAGAAAGATATATGATTACATACTGTTACCTATTAGTTGAAAGAAGGGGGAAAAACATTCTGTGTATGTTTTCTTTTCATTTAATCAAAAGAAAATATACTGAAATTCCAGATTGCTATCTGTAGTAGCGAAGAAAAACTATGTTAAAATTTCAGATAACTGTAGTAGTTATGGTTATAACTTCATTATTGTTACGGTATAGCCTGAGGCTGGTTGGTAAATTACTGACGAATGTCTAGTTCTATATATAGTCGTGATATTTACATCAGTTATGTCTATTTCACCTAATCATCACACCCCTACCTAGAACCTGTCATCTCAGTGGTTTAGGCTCTCCATGAGTTGACTTAATTAATTCAATATTCTGTCAGTATTACTGGACGGATATGAGGCCTTGATGCTTTTATCTGTAAGAGTTGTGTCCCTTCACTGAACCACTGGTTGCTTACAGAAGATTGAGGCGTTTTCAGTATTTCAATACAATATTACTCCACAAATAAGGCATTCAATTTCCCTTGGTTATTGACTGGTTTTATATGCTCGTTCAAGTTTACACTATTTCCGCTCAAAGTTTTAAGAAAATTATTAGATATGAAAATGTAATTTATAGGATTTACATATAGTCTTGGCATTTCCAATATATTGTAACAGGGGTAATTATTTCTCCATGCAATGCCTCCGTTTGGGGTCAAACAAGGGACCTCTTAGTTAACTAGTCTTGCGCTCTATAGAGAGAAATTTCACCCTAGCCAAGTCGGTAGGGAGTGGATTTTACCAGGGCGACAATATAAACTCTTGATTTCAATATTACATTTTATTTGTACAATATATATATATGAGTTCCTGTTTCTCAAAAAAAGCTGATCAAGCTGATTAGCTTAATTCCCTATAGCCTGATTATATTATACAATTATATACCTATATACATGTATAAGGAGAATTGTCTTTACTGTGCAGAATGAAAATGCCCGCTCTGATGTAACAGAACTCCCCTTAGGCACTGTGTTATCAGGTTTAGGTCTTACTAACAGGTCTCTGTTTAATTACCGCTTTTGACTGTTACAGATCATCTGGTCAAGATTACTTATAACATGTGACTGACCAGTGAACCATTTTGTCTGGAATTGGTTAGAAAACAGATCAGCTGATGTTATTATGTGACTGGTCATTTGGCCAGAATGTGTCAGAAACCGATCTCTAAGGACATTGACAGTTTGATCAAACTGACCATCAGCGTTGATAGGATATTACAAATCTACAAATGTGTCAGCCTTACGACCAGGCTTGTTAGATTGTCTAGCTATGTCGTAATGACTCAAAGATCGTAATCTCTCAGACCACTGGTCAGCTTTGTCCACTCAAACACTTGAGGACACTCCAGGGAACATCTGGTCACTAGGATTGTTCACTCAGCCGTGAAATTACGGCCAGTTCTCCTACCCATGTATTAAACAGAGATAGGAATTAAAGTCTTATGACCATCAGGAGGTTCCTGTGAGAAACATTAAGAGATAATTGTGTAGATATATATCACATTACAGGATTTGTATCTATACCTTCAGCAAGAACATTACTACACATATGTGTCACATTTATTTTCAAAGTTTGTACGATTTCTATTTCAAAAAGTTTGTGTCCTAATTTGAGAAGTTGGATAATTTGATGAAAAGAAGATGGATTGTGATTTTCCATCCGTGCCAAAGAAGACTGATTATAAAAACAGATCAACGCTGGCTAAGATTGATGGACCAAGCTCTCACTAGTTGGTTGTCGGAGACAATACAACCATAGATTGACTTACCAGTACAGAAACAAATCTATCAATGACCTGTAACATTTATATACCTGTGAATTTATAATCAGGCCTTTTAGATGAAAGAAAATCTACTTTTTAAGGTGATTTTTTTGCAAGTAGATTGTGAGGTTTTAACGCGCAAGTATAGGTATATTTATAATCAGATAGTTTACTGAGAAGAAAAGCCTTCTTATGTAAACGAGTTATGGACAGGGAAAAAACAGGTGGACCTTGAAATTATGTCCGCAGCGAAAGTATGGAATTTTAAACAGAGGATGTATTCATGTATACATACAACTGATTAATGCGATAACAAGTTTTTATTTATTTTTTCTTCGTTTTTTCTCGTTTAACTGAGCATCCCCATTCATAGATGAACTGGATCGGATTACAGTACAATCAGGATACCTGTGTCTTTTGGCGGTTCCTGAAGGAGCGTCATTGTGTGTGATGGGAGTGTATAGGTATAATGGTGATATAGGTACTGTATATATAGATACACCTGGTTCCTTACCCAGTACATATATATATACAAAATTTTCATGGTCCAGCGATTTCTCAAGCAGCCGAACAACCCAGTAGTTTTAAACGTGTATCATCCATCTCCTCACCTGGTCTGGAGACTAACGAGATATCAAGTACAGGTGAAAGTAGGCAATTAGTGCTTACCTGTTGTGGAGAAATCTGTGATGGACATTTGAGGTCTGTCACAAAAACCTGTGCTGAAAAGTTTTCAAAACATTGAGGAAAGCTACTGAAGAGCTCACACACATAACTTATATAAAGACGACAAATTGAATTTTAAATGTGAAATACATTAGTGGTTACTGAGGAAACCGGATAGGCTACCGAGATACAGTGTGTATGTACAAGTATCAGGTTCTCTTACTGGAAGAAAACGTACTGGATTTCAAAATTTGGATTGATTTAAAAAAGATTAAAATCCAATTCTTTGGAAGCAACTTGCCTACAACGATATCAGATTCTGAAAAAGTGAAAATTTAGACATTTACCCTGAGGACACAGTTTGTGAGTCATTTCTAAATTGTAACTTAATGTGCAGTGGGAATTTGAACTTAAATTTACCTTTAAACTGTGGATTGATGGTTATGTCCCTGGATGTGTGACGGAAATCCCCTTATGACTGTGATACAATTTTACCTAGTCAAATAAGAAATGTGTGATTGCTGGAGAGAATTATCAATCAAGTATGGGATATAAATTCATTGGAACCGTACGCATCTAAAGGTAACAAATTTAAAAATATATTTCTGGGCTCAAAATTAATAAGGAAGATTTGTGAAGAAAGATGGCTGACTCGAAAACAGTTAAACGCCACAGTGCTGAAAGTAATGAATTTGCAAGGAGAACAATTTGAAAAGTAATTGGTGACGGTTTGTGAAACAAGCAAGATGGCTGACTCTGAGACAGTTCATAACCGTAAGGTTGCTCCTCCTTTAAAATTTACATCTATGAAAAAATACAATTTCTCTACGGCCTTGTCAACATCATCATCCATTTCAAAGCCGCGACTACTCACCGCACCGAAGGCACTTGGATCGCCTGGAGTGCCAAGGTCACTGGCTTTATCAAAGACAACAGGCTCTGTTCCTTCTTTTTCAAAATTGAGAGAAACTAAATCTGGTGATTCTCTAAAAAGTAAAGGTGTATTATTGACAAACTCAACAAAACCAGGGACATTTCACTCAAACGATTCAGAATTTTCAAATCATATGAACAATTTATCACATCCTGAAGAAAGACCCATACAAAATGGACCTAGTGCATCAATTGAGTTCTCTCGAACGTCAACGTCATGGTTAAAAAGGCCCAGGTCACAACCGTCACTTCAACATATTATCTCTAACCCCCAGTTGTCAACTGAAACTAGGGGTGAAAGGTCAACAGTCAATGACATTCAACATGACATTGGATCTGAAAAGTCAAAATTCAGTATTGTTATCGAGAAATGTGCTACACACGAGAAAAGTTTTGATAAAGAGACAACAAATAATGTATCAACAATACCAAGTAAGGAACCAAGTGTGTCAAAGCTGGATGTTGCTTTGAATACCACCACTGTTGATCAGAATCAAAACATAAAAGGATTTTCTCCCTTAAGTGATGTGAGCAAATCATCAAGAAATGTCGAGTCACGTGCTAGTGATTCTGTACTGTGTGGTAACTCTTCTGACAACAGGAAATGGAAGACAGAGTTACCAGAACGGTTGATAGATCTACAAACAAATAAAGATTTGTCGAAGACATCAGATACCTCCGACAAATATGGCAAGGGAAATAACTCTGGATTATCAACCAGTAGAGTGGATAAAGACAGTTCTGATTATGAGTTGGTGAAGGGTACGCCAGCTCTAAGTAAGGGTTCTAGTGATCTGGGTTTGGAAATGATTACAAGGCGGGATGAGGATGCTGCTGGAGAGTCGGAGGATATAACTCCTGGAGTGGTAGAAAGAGATTCGATGACGTATACAAGTTCTGCCAGCTTAGTGTTGTCAACTAGCCAACCAGACACACACACAGACACACAGACAGATCCACAGACAGACACTCAGGCAGATCCACAGACAGACACACAGACAAACCAGCATTCATCACTTCAGGGTCAGCAGAAACAAGAAACACCTCAAAAACGGATTAAAAGAAAAACAGACAAAAACTATTCCATTCAGCAACCAAATGATACCAAACCATCAATGTTATCACCAGAGATCAAGGTTAATATCAAAACAACAGATTCTCCAATGAAACAACCTGTACAGTCAACAACACGCGCTTCATCATTTCAGGAAAATGTTAAAACGGAAATACCAGAATCTTCATTTCCGACAACAGCTAAAAAGCATACTGAGGAATCAGCCTTTTTAAATCAGGTTGGAACACGAACATCCGAGTCCAATGGAGAAGCAACAAAATCTAAACCTTTCCGCCGGAAACCAGTTGAAACGAAAGTACCAGAATTGTCATTTCGGAAACCAGTAGAATCTAAAACACTCAAGTCATCTTTAAAAAAGAAGGATGTAGCTGTGTCAAATACACAGGGAGACTGTGACAAAGATGGCCGTGCTACAGATAAAAGTAAACAGAATCTGAATAATACACAGGGAGACTGTGACAAAGATGGCCATGCTACAGATAAAAGTAAACAGAATCTTGATAAAACAGGAAGTAGTTTAACAGGTGACCCGTCTGATGTGAAGAGGAAGAATGGCGATGTTTGGGACGATTCCAAGTATCAAGTTTCCACTAACCAAGATGTGAAGTGGAAGGATGGCCATGTTTGGGACGATTCCAAGTGTCAAGTTCCCGCTAACCAAGATGTGAAGAAAACCAAATCATTTTCTGTTAGTGTAGAACCACCTTCACCTTTCACTCCGAAGGGTAAGAATGTTAAACGTGGCGTTTCATTGCTTGGAACATCGAAAAGTTTATTTCCAGAATCCATGACAATCAACATGGATTTAACAGGATCAGAAGAGGACCAAGATAAAAAAGATCACAATGATGATGATGATGAGGATGACAAAGATGAAGGATTATCTTTTAGCATGTCATCGACGTCATCGTTTATGAAAGGAAGCGATGACACCATGTCTGACGTCACACTTTCTCCCCCGATTTCTCCATTTAATAGTCCACTCCATAAAGATACGGCAACATTTGTGACGTCAACACCAAAATCATTCTTTAAAACACCTAACGACACCAGAGAGGTACGCAGACATTCACTTCCAAATGTGGAGTCCGATTTATCAGAGAACTCGTCTCTCAAATACTCACTGGTTGATATAGACCTCACAAACTCCTACACAGAGAAAAGGTCTGTAGGAGAATTTACATCTCCTAATGTGACAAAATCATTGTCCTTTTCATCTGGAACCCCATTGGCTGAGGCCCTGTCATTGCCGACCCCCAGTCCCCGTAGAAAACCCCGAGTGTCACGGCGTACCTCCCAGAAGCTCATACGTATGGTAACTAAGTTTTATTTGATTATAATATTTTCAACTGTTCTTGATACCCTCAGTCTAATGAACCTCCATTGTTGTTACTTCACAATAGCAATCAATCCAGAAAACTTCCCTGCTTATATTCAGAATATACTTAAGTCTAGAGAGTTCTCTGCCGCAAATTTAAAAATACTGTAGGGTTATTCCCGAAGTGCTACATGGATTATACTTGTATCAATGATACAGGATAGGTTGTTCTACTGAATGTTGTATTTGAGGGTATTTTACCTACATTTTGTGCCATTAGAAATGCTATAATTATTTGTGCCATCACTTTATGCAGTTTGTTTAAGTGACTGATGTAGAATTATAGCACTAGGAATTGAAGTGCTCTGTACCATTCCCAGCTGTATTTGTACGCTATATCATAACTATATCTCATCCTCACTTGAGTGGAGAAAATCAATAATAATGTCTTCTTATTATGCTGGTGATATTGATAACTCACTTTCCCTCCCTACACAGATCTACATGTATAGAAACACACTGTATCATCTTTCCCTCCCTACACAGATCTACATGTATAGAGACACACTGTATCATCTTTCCATCCCTACACAGATCTACAGGTATACAAACACACTGTATCATCTTTCCCTCCCTACACAGATCTAGATGGATAGAGACACACTGTATAATCTTTCCCTCCCTACATAGATCTACACGTATAGAAACACACTGTATCATCTCTCCCTCCCTACACAGATATACATGTATACAAACACTCTGTATCATCTTTCCATCCCTCCACAGATCTACAGGTATACAAACACACTGTAGATCTGTGTAGGGCTGGAAAGATGATACAGTGGGTTTGTATACATGTAGATCTGTTTAGGGAGGAAAAGATGATACAGTGTGTTTGTATATATGTAGATCTGTGTAGGGGGGGAAAGATGATACAGTGGGTTTGTATACATGTAGATCTGGGTAGGGAGGGAAAGATGGTACAGTGTGTTTGTATACCTGTAGATCTGTGTAGGGCTGGAAAGATGATACAGTGAGTCTCTATACATGTAGATCCGTGTAGGGAGGGAAAGAGGATACAGTGTGTCTCTATCCATCTAGATCTGTGTAGGGAGCGAAAGATGATACAGTGTGTATGTATACATGTAGATCTGGGTAGGGAGGGAAAGATGATTCAGTGTGTCTCTATACACGTAGATCTGTGTAGGGATGGGAAGATGATACAGTGTGTTTCTATACGTGTAGATCTATGTAGGGAGGGAAAGATCATACAGTGTGTCTCTATCCATCTAGATCTGTGTAGGGAGTGAAAGATGATACAGTGTGGCTCTATACATGTAGATCTGCGTAGGGAGGGAAAGATGGTACAGTGTGTTTGTATATATGTAGATCTGTGTAGGGGGGGAAAGATGATACAGTGTGTATGTATACATGTAGATCTGGGTAGGGAGGGAAAGATGGTACAGTGTGTTTGTATATATGTAGATCTGTGTAGGGCTGGAAAGATGATACAGTGGGTTTGTATACATGTAGATCTGTGAAGGGAGGGAAAGATGATTCAGTGTGTCTCTATACACGTAGATCTGTGTAGGGATGGAAAGATGATACAGAGTGTCTCTATACATGTAAATCTGTGTAGGGAGGGAAAGATGATACATGTATAGAGACACACTGTATCATCTTTCCCTCCCTACACGATGTAAACACTGTTCACCTGAGTATTTTTAAGCACAAACATTTCAAGCTGGGATAATAAATTTGTTTTACTTGCAGAAAAAAGTCAGTTTCAACACTGTTTTTTTAATCATTATGTAGGTTATCACTTATCCAGATTAAAACTTGGAACTGCATCAAATTATGTACCTGGCTATCACTGTACCACAGGTATAGATAACACACCATTTACATTAAACTCCATCTATAGAAAGTCTGGTTAGCTAAGTGAAGTACCAACCATAGAAAGTAGATAATATTCTGTCGCATTTCCAAATCTATTTATTTCCTAACTTGTGTTTTATAAAAGGAATTAAATAATGATCTTTCGCAGTTTGGAAATGTAAAAATGTTTGTAATGTTATAAATATTTTATCATGTATTTCTGTTTGAAATATTAGTTTCTGTTCAATGAAGTTGACAATGTTTTGAAATTCAAGTTCTACTTGAGGAAGTTACCTACCTATGTTGAATTAGATAGTATTACGATTGTGAATTGTTAGGTTTATGTTAACGTGTATGACACTGCAATTGTAATGAATTATTCAGTAGGTGTTGAGATCTCTTAAATATAACTATTACCTAATAATTACCTAATAATTACCTAATAATAGAGGGTGGGCTTGTATTCAGATATAAAGTCGATTCACCCAAAAAAGGTGATTTTCAGCCCGAGCATTTGCACATTTGCATAAGAAACGGGTATCTGTACATTACCCCTAGAGGTCCTTGAGGATGCTCAAGGTGACCTACTGACTCTATAAAGGATGTATACAGCATACCTGTCACTAAACTGGGTGGACAGGTGGAAACCACTGCACTCACTGGAAAAGACAGGTAAAATGTTTTCACAAAAATTTACATCATCAAAACAAGGATAAAATCTTTTGTGACTAATAAAATGCACCTTCCACCCCCTAAAACTGACCATGTTCTGATCCAGATTTGTTGATAGCAGAGTCTAAAATGACTTTGGAAGGATTTCTGAATTCATTTTTTTGTCTTTAGTGGCTAAAGTTGAAACGGATAGAATATCTAGATAGATATTCTTACTAATTTTAGAAATGACGGGTAAATTACATACCTGTGATATTAACGAGAATTTCAACCATTCTTTCTAAAAACACCCACTGGATTTAGTTACTGTGATAATGTTTAATCTACAAGATTTAAAGATTTTTGTTACAGAAATCTCAGTACACCATCAGAAACCTTTCATCCTATAGCAATCTGATCATAAATCTTCTGTGGGCTAATGGATCTGTATTTCTAAAAGTACAATACTTAAGCTTAGAAGTTAAAAGGTAGATTGTTGTCTTTGTACAATACCTTATTCACTTATTGAGTGTGAGACACAAATGTCGTACAGTGAACATTGTCTGGGGTACAGGGTAGAGTGTGCTGCCCTGTCACAGAAATGGGGTTTGAGTCGCTGAATACACACTTGGTTGCATGTATACAGTGAGTTACTGTAATATAAACTTATGCTTCAATGTTTATTACAATAACTCAATTCAACAGCTCTGTCCTATTTGAGTTTAAGTAACTGTAAACAGACTTTGTAACATGTACTTTGTATTGCAGTGACTCAAATTCATGATCAATGCTTTTTTCCTTAAAGAAATTAGCCCTCACGGTGAGGTAGGCAGGTATATGGTAATACTCTCTGCCAATCCGGTCACTAGTCACTCCATATAATTAACAGTCCAGAGCATGTCTCCTACATTATTTCACTTACATCATTAAAGTTCGTATACTGAAACCACCTTGGGGAGAGGGTATACTAGCTTATGTCACTGTGACCTTTATTTTGACCTTTGACCTTAATTTAAGCGCAAACTATGTGAGATGCAGTTTGTCTGGAGCCTATCACCTGCGATCATCAGGGTTGGAATGCTGGTACATCTTGGGAAGGTAGAGTGTCACGTTAACTAGTTATGATCACAACTTCCTGGATATCACAATGAATTGAGTCCATAACTTAGCGATGACGGATATTGGCAACATGTTACAATTTTTTTCTTCAAAGTATTACTTCCCAATTGTGCTTGTACACAATTTTACAGCTGTTGGGTGACACAACAGCATGCACTCGACATGAAGTAGATGCTGATAACAACAGAAAACTTTGCTTTAGGTCCTCTAGATTCCGTTTACTTGTATTTTGATTCACTGATTAAAACCCTATAAACAGTCCAGACTGTACTAAAGTAATGTAAAAAATCTTTTCTATAGCAACACCAGTAATGCTGTGCTGCCAAATTAGAAAGAGCAATGTTGATAAAAATCAATAGGGCCAGATGATTTTGGCATTGTGGTGATATTGCATAAAAACTGACTCCGGTTCTGACAGTCTCTGGACCTCAGGGATTTCTTGTGACTCATCTCAATGAACAGAGATAAGAAATTTTGTAGTATGTTGACACTGTAAAGTCAAGTCTGTTTAATGTGAAGCCTCAGCCAACTGACTCGGCTAGAGAGAAGTTCTCTTTAGCTCATTCAGTAGAGGATCAGACTAACAAACCAGAAGTCCTAAGTTGGACTCCCTAGTGGAGATGTTGAAAAAATAATGACCTCTGTTACATTGGCACCCACGTAGGACCTGGAAAATATTGACAAAAATACTGAGTCTTGCTCTTACAAGCTTCACTGTTAGCCTTGAAAGTACTCGGATTGAGGTCTCTCCAGGAGGGGGAGTAGGTCACTCTGGTAAAACACTAGCTGGCTGCATCCCTTAAGCTCATTTAGTAGAGCGTCAGTATGACTTCCAATCATTACCAGAGTAGTATATGCCCATTAACCTGAGATAGTCCCTATCTGGGTTATCCATGTAAAGTTAGACATGCTCTAGACATAAGTTTCTGCAGGATATTCAATGTCTTGAGTGTTAAATCTGCTGACATTGTCTTGAGTGTTAAATTTGCTGACATTGTCTTGAGTGTTAAATTTGCTGACAATGTCTTGAGTGTTAAATTTGCTGACATTGTCTTGAGTGTTAAACCTGCTGACATTGTCTTGAGTGTTTAATCTGCTGACAATGTCTTGAGTGTTTAATCTGCTGACAATGTCTTGAGTGTTTAATCTGCTGACATTGTCTTGAGTGGTAAATCTGCTGACAATGTCTTGAGGGTTAAATCTGCTGACAATGTCTTGAGGGTTAAATCTGCTGACATTGTCTTTTGTGTTAAATCTGCTGCCATTGTCTTGGGTGTTAAATCTGCTGACATTGTCTTGCGTGTTAAATCTGCTGACATTGTCTTAAGTGTTAAATCTGCTGACAATGTCCTGAGTGTTAAATTTGCTGACATTGTCTTGAGTGTTAAACCTGCTGACATTGTCTTGAGTGTTTAATCTGCTGACATTGTCTTGAGTGGTAAATCTGCTGACATTGTCTTGAGTGTTTAATCTGCTGACAATGTCTTGAGTGTTTAATCTGCTGACATTGTCTTGAGTGTTTAATCTGCTGACATTGTCTTGAGTGTTTAATCTGCTGACAATGTCTTGAGTGTTTAATCTGCTGACATTGTCTTGAGTGGTAAATCTGCTGACAATGTCTTGAGGGTTAAATCTGCTGACATTGTCTTAAGTGTTAAATCTGCTGACATTGTCTTAAGTGTTAAATCTGCTGACATTGTCTTTTGTGTTAAATCTGCTGCCATTGTCTTGAGGGTTAAATCTGCTGACATTGTCTTGCGTGTTAAATCTGCTGACATTGTCTTTTGTGTTAAATCTGCTGCCATTGTCTTGGGTGTTAAATCTGCTGACATTGTCTTGATTGTTAAATCTGCTGCCATTGTCTTGGGTGTTAAATCTGCTGACATTGTCTTTTGTGTTAAATCTGCTGCCATTGTCTTGAGTGTTAAATTTGCTGACATTGTCTTGAGTGTTAAATTTGCTGACATTGTCTTGAGTGTTAAATTTGCTGACAATGTCTTGAGTGTTAAATCCGCTGACATTGTCTTGAGTGTTAAATTTGCTGACAATGTCTTGAGTGTTAAATTTGCTGACAATGTCTTGAGTGTTAAATTTGCTGACATTGTCTTGAGTGTTAAATCGGCTGACAATGTCTTGAGTGTTAAATCTTCTGACATTGTCTTGGTTGTTAAATCTGCTGACATTGTCTTAAGTGTTAAATCTGCTGACAATGTCCTGAGTGTTAAATTTGCTGACATTGTCTTGAGTGTTAAACCTGCTGACATTGTCTTGAGTGTTAAATCAGCTGACATTGTCTTGAGTGTTAAATTTGCTGACATTGTCTTGAGTGTTAAACCTGCTGACATTGTCTTGAGTGTTTAATCTGCTGACAATGTCTTGAGTGTTAAATCCGCTGACATTGTCTTGAGTGTTAAACCTGCTGACATTGTCTTGAGTGTTAAACCTGCTGACATTGTCTTGAGTGTTTAATCTGCTGACAATGTCTTGAGTGTTTAATCTGCTGACAATGTCTTGAGTGTTAAATCCGCTGACATTGTCTTGAGTGTTAAACCTGCTGACATTGTCTTGAGTGTTAAACCTGCTGACATTGTCTTGAGTGTTAAATCTGCTGACATTGTCTTGATTGTTAAATCTGCTGCCATTGTCTTGAGTGTTAAATCTGCTGACATATGTCTTTGTTGATCATTGTCTTGAGTGTCTTTGTTGATCATTGTCTTGAGTGTCTTTGTTGATCATTGTCCTGTGTGTCTTTATTGATCCTTGTCTTGAGTGTTTTTGTTGATCCTTGTCTTGAGTGTCTTTGTTGGTCTTTGTTGATCATTGTCTTGTGTGTCTTTGTTGATCCTTGTCTTGAGTGTCTTTGTTGATCCTTGTCTTGAGTATTTTTGTTGATCATTGTCTTGTGTGTCTTTGTTGATGAGTGTCTGATTTTCAGGCTTTTATTGTGTCGAGTACAACCTGTGTGTAGAACATCTCCTCTGGGATTATTGTTCTGAAAACAAAAGGCAATCACCTGTTCATCACTGATACTAGTATATAACTTCCCTCCCCTCAGATGGTACATAGACTGGCCTGCTTATTCATGTAGACAGAAACCAATGTGTTCTGTGCATCTAAATAATATACTTAGTAAGTCTAGTCCATAAATCTTCCTGTTATGTTTTTTGTCAAATTTCATATTTCATTGAAAAATGTATTTTTTCAGGAAGTTTTAACTATTTAAACATTAGTGTTTATAAATCAAACTTCCTCAGTGTTTGATGTCGGTCACGAAATGGATTTGGACGTTATTTATGAGGTGAAGTATTCCAATGAGTTCATTATCATTTTAATGTGAGCTTTTTGGATAGAGCAAATATTGATAGAAAACCAGGGACAAATCTGCATAATTATTTGAGTAATTTTGCACATTTTACTTAGGGATCTTCACCTTACAAAGTATGTTTTAATATAACATGGTTTTACACAGATTCATTCATTCCTAACGTGCCTAATTTAGTTATGGTATTTATTAAAGATATTCATTAAGTTTTCACTTTGGAACTTTTTAAAAAATACATTGCATGTCACACGCGTACTGTTGGGGGTCAAACCCATACCTATCAAAATATGGGGAAGTGCCATGGACCTTATCAAAATACAGGGAAGTGCTGTGGACTTAATCAAAATACAGGGCAGTGCTGTGAACCTTATACCTGACCAGGCTAACAAAATGAAGTGTTTTGAGTAAAGAGTGACCACCCCTCCCCATATTCCTTTCAGAGACTACTAGCTTGACCTGTTTTTTGACCAAGTTTTTTGTGTTTTATAGGACGAGGATGAGTTTATCGGATTTGCCACGCTACCCGATCAGGTCCATAGGAAGGCGGTCAAGCGAGGTTTCGAGTTTGGACTCATGGTGGTGGGTAGGTACATTATCATTATGTGTCCAGCCGGTGTCCTGCTGTCGTTAGGACACAGATGTGTGACGACTTTCATTAAATATGATTTTTAGCATACACCAGCAACATTTGAAGTATGAAAAAAATTAAAATATATATATTTCATGATTGGTGACTTGTTGATACATGTACAATCAGTCTATTTTAGCTTAACATGTTTAATTTGCAATAGATGCCAAAAATATTCTAGAATGCCAACCCTAAACCCTATTTGGCCTTTAGTATCCTTCAAAGCAACAGCGAAGGATCAATGCACCAATCAATTTGTTCTTCTGAAACTTGTCAGTCCAAGATGTACAACACACTCTTCGTCCTATGTGAAATACATGGTATTGGTTGGTTTATTACTAGTATAGTTTGTAGGACAGTAAATAATATAATACTTGAGCAGGTGGTATGTAGACAGGACCAGTTCATGATCAGCATACGTTTAACCTCAAGTGTCAAACATGGATTCACAATTATGATAATCTATACAGTAAAATTCAATAATTTTATGTACAGTATGACAAGAAAAATAGTGAAGTGGTTTAAGTGAAAAATTTTGCAGGCAAGCTGAAACATATCTATAGACAAAATTTATTAGGTTTTCTCAGTTAAATTTTAACAAATATTCTGTTCATCTGCAGTCCAAGTGTATAAAATGTGAGTAACTGTGTAATAGAGTTGTGTAACTTAGTGTTGGTCTACCTGTATTTTGTCTGATTACAGGTGAGACAGGCCTGGGGAAGTCGACCCTCATCAACAGCCTCTTCCTGACAGATTTATACAAGGACAGGAAAATACCTAAAGTGGAGGGTAAGATATTCCATCCTGTATCACAACTTTATCCATGTATTTCATTTCATAATGTTGCATCAGAATTATCTCCCTTGATTTTCCACTATGTCTGTTACAACATTACCTCCCTTGTCGTGTTCTTTATTTGCAGATATATAGATGTTATTTAACTGGAGGACAGTAATTGTCAGAATTTTTAGGTCCACTTTCTGAAATAAAACTTCAGAAAGCTGTCATTGCATGTACAATAAATCATCGGTAGGTTTATACAATTTCCAAAAATATTTCCTCCAGGAAGTACCGTCACCCGGGAAATTAAAGGAAGTTGATCATTTCCATATCAATCCATGCACTCTCTGACAGTACTATATGAATGGCTCTATAATGCACTTTAACATACACACATATACACATGGGGAAGTAACAACTACCAGGTATTATCTATATCGTGTACACACACTGAAAATAAACAAAATAGCAGGCTGTACCAGCTTGTCATTTCACTGTTAGTGTGTGACAAGAGGAAAACACAATATAGAGCAAAACTAAATCTGGGAAATCCAAATTTAAGACAGATGCTATAACCATTTGACTTACCAGGCCAGCAGTAGTCACCCAGCCAAGTCCTGCTCCACTGGTTGGATTCATCGTTACTTGTTATGTTACAATGGGTGATTTGTGAAAGCCTGTATAGTGGCTAGATCATACCACAAGTACAGTTAACGAGCAATAGATTGTGTGTCTCTTACAGTGACTACCCCGGTAAATTCATTAAGTGTTGTTTTGTTACAGTATTCAATGTTATGCCCTCACGATAGCTGAAGGTCAACAGACACAGGATATATATATATATATATGTAATTATGTTTTACTTACAGAAACCATTAAGAAGACTGTTCACATTGAAAAGAAACAACTTGAGATTGAAGAACGTGGCGTAAGACTACGACTCACAATTGTTGATACACCAGGGTTCAATGACTCTGTGAATGGAGAAGAAAAGTGAGCACCAGTTGGGTCAAAGTTCATCAATAATAATTTGGTGTAGAGATCACATACGAAGGTCAAATCAAGATATCCCAAGAAAATTTGTCTTGACATTGATATAAGTAAGAAATAGATACTTAAAAAAAAATAAGTGAAAGTTTTGCTGATCCAATAGGCTGATCAATTCTATGGTCGAGTATTTTTAAATAAAAACAACTTTTACTTCACATACAGGCTGTAGTTGTAGGTTTTCTTGACATTGAATTTTTGATTTTCCAGTTGGATGCCAATTATAGACTATATTGACAGCCAGTTCGACCAATACTACCAGGCAGAGAGTGGACTTAATCGTAAAAATATACAAGACACTCGCGTCCACTGTTGTCTGTACTTCATATCTCCCTACGGACACGGGTAAGTAAACCGCGGACACTAGGGTCCACTGTTGTCTGTACTTCATATCTCCCTACGGACACGGGTGAGTAAACCGGACACTATAGGGTCCACTGTTGTCTGTACTTCATATCTCCCTACGGACACGGGTAAGTAAACCAGACACTAGGGTCCACTGTTGTCTGTACTTCATATCTCCCTACGGACACGGGTAAGTAAACCGGACACTAGGGTACACTATTGTCTGTACTTCATATCTCCCTACGGACACGGGTAAGTAAACCGCGGACACAAGGGTCCACTGTTGTCTGTACTTCATATCTCCCTACGGACACGGGTAAGTAAACCGGCCACTAGGATCCACTGTTGTCTGTACTTCATATCTCCCTACGGACACGGGTAAGTAAACCAGACACTAGGGTCCACTGTTGTCTGTACTTCATATCTCCCTACGGACACGGGTAAGTAAACCGGACACTAGGGTCCACTGTTGTCTGTACTTCATATCTCCCTACGGACACGGTAAGTAAACCGCGGACACCATGGTCCACTGTTGTCTGTACTTCATATCTCCCTACGGACACGGGTGAGTAAACCAGACACTAGGGTCCACTGTTGTCTGTACTTCATATCACCCTACGGACACGGGTAAGTAAACCGAACACTAGGGTCCACTGTTGTCTGTACTTCATATCTCCCTACGGACAAGGGTGAGTAAACCAGACACTAGGGTCCACTGTTGTCTGTAATTCATATCACCCTACGGACACGGGTAAGTAAACCGCGGACGCTAGGGTCCACTGTTGTCTGTACTTCATATCCCCCTACAGACACGGGTAAGTAAACCAGACACTAGGATCCACTGTTGTCTGGACTTCATATCTCCCTACGGACACGGGTGAGTAACCCAGACACTAGGGTCCACTGTTGTCTGTACTTCATATCTCCCTACAGACACGGGTAAGTAAACCAGACACTAGGATCCACTGTTGTCTGTACTTCATATCTCCCTACGGACACGGGCGAGTAAACCAGACACTAGGGTCCACTGTTGTCTGTACTTCATATCACCCTACGGACACGGGTAAGTAAACCGAACACTAGGCTCCACTGTTGTCTGTACTTCATATCTCCCTACGGACACGGGTAAGTAAACCGGACACTAGGATCCACTGTTGTCTGTACTTCATATCCCCTAAGGACACGGGTAAGTAAACCGGACACTAGTGTCCACTATTGTCTGTACATCATATCTCCCTACGGACACGGGTAAGTAAACCGGACACCCTTGTCTACCAAAGAATCTGGCTTATAGTAGAAATGTTGCCTAAGATTACATTAAAATCAATCTGTATAATTTAATAGAGTTGTGAAAATTCTTATTTATCAAAAAAGGAATAAACACTGTGTACAACATTAATATCATGTTGTAGTTATTTTTATGATGTATTTAAAATTCTTCTGATTGTAGTCTAAAGCCGGTAGATATCGCTGTGATGAAGAGATTACACACCAAGGTCAACATTGTCCCTCTCCTTGCTAAGTCTGACATCCTCACTCCAAAGGAGGTGAAAAGGTTAAAGGCCAAGGTAATGTCAGAGGTCAACCTTGGTATCATGGTCCAAGGGAAATAATCATTCTTGAAATCAATTCAATTAGGGATTAAGTTTCTTCACTTTCTCATCCCCAATGGTGCAAAAGATTCTATTCTGTATGAAAGAGAACTTCTTGTTTTATTTCACATTATTTTTGATATCTCAGGTGAAGGTACTGAAAATGAGTTATTATAATCTGATCTCAGTTTAAAATATTTACTCAAATAGTTCTCACACAAATAATGGCATTACAATCAAAATTTAAAAAAATACTTCAAAATTAATTTTAATAAAATATTATTTGTACTTGTTATTTATTAAAACGATTTGTATTGTAGTTGTAAATAATAAAATAAATCATATTCAGTTTAAGTCAAGTTTCATTACATTACAGTAAAATGAAGTGAAAATCGATTTGATATATTTTTGTTACAATCTCAAAAATCCAGAAACCAAATGAAACTATCAAGGCGTTACTGATAGAGGGATGTAACTCTTGTGAAGGGGAGATAACTCTGTATCATATGTTACAGATATTGGATGAGATTAAGGACAACCATATACAGATCTACCAGTTCCCAGAGTGTGATAGTGATGAGGACGAGGAGTTCAAACAACAGGACAAAGCCTTAAAGGTACAGTTACCTCCCTTTACAAGGGTGGCCATACAGGACAAAGCCTTAAAAGTACAGTTACCTCCCTTTACAAGAGTGGCCATACAGAAGGAGACACAAAAAAAACATAGTAACTTCAGAGTATCAATATCATACTGTGTATATTGTGTTAGTTTTTATACGCCCGTCAAATTTGACGGGAGTATTATGGTATAAAGTTGTCCGTCCGTCCGGCTTAAACTTTTGTTTGTGCAGCAATCTCCTCCTACATTTTTCGACCGATCTCTTTGAAACTTGGTATACATTATAACCATGATATGAAGTTGGGTCTCCCTTAAAAGAATTTTGATTCAACAATTTTTGCAAAAGTTATTGCCCTTTGTTTATTTCCGTATTTGATATTTGTCAGGCAACCTCCTCCTACATTTTTCGACCGATCTCTTTGAAACTTGGTATACATTATAACCCTGATATGAACTTGTGTCTCCCTTAACAGAATTTTGAATCAACGATTTTTGCAAAAGAAATCGCCCTTTGTTCATTTCAGTATTTGATTTTTTGTCCGGAAATTTTCTCCTACATTTTTTAAAGCATGTCAGCTAACCACTCTTAGAATGATGCAAAGAGATCTTATTTCAATGTCAGAAAGTATATAACACTATATGGCACCCGACGGGCATATATTGCTCCGCGGTACTCTTCTTGGTTGTTAGTTTATTATGATTTTCGTTTTTATTTTGTTTTCTAGTCAGCCATTCCGTTTGCGGTAGTGGGCAGTAATACAGTTGTGGAGGCAGGAGGCAAGAAAATCCGGGGACGCATGTACCCCTGGGGGATAGTAGAAGGTAGGGGGTCAGGGGTCATAGTGGCAGGTGGAATGAATGCATCAGTATGAAAGATTTCAGACAAAAATGTATCAATCATATTTGAAATAATGGAAAGTTGAAAAATATTTTTTTTGGTGGTACATGTAATATACGAGATTTATAATTATACTGTCTACAACTAAATCTTCCTAATTTTTATAAGTGAAAATGATGACCTGCTTTTGTTTTATATTACATTGTACCTGTATATCTGACCTGTGTCTGTTTGATTCTTTACAGTTGATAACCCCAAACACTGTGACTTCGGCAAGCTACGACAGATGTTGATCAGGTCTGTGATATCTGTGTATAGACATAGGAGTTTTAATACAGTTGAACTGCGCTGTGTTTTAATAGTGCTTTAAGGGATACTATTATATTCAAGTTTGGAAATGTCTTTACATACAGTTATCAAAGAAATATACATCTTGACTGGCTACAAAAATAGGTTTTTTGTTTAATTTGTAAAACACCAAAACAAGTTCTGCAGAACCAGTTCATGATATAGATGTTTTAATGTGTTGTAATCTGTGACATACTGTAACTCAATTTATAGATCTGTTTACATAGTGGAATCTTCCTATTATCGTGAGGTTTGTTGAAGTCATAGTTCAATTAAAATCATATTTTCTAAAACCAACAGTTGTGTATATTTGGTAAGAAATTCTATTTGTTTGTTATCATGTGATTTGACATGAAGTCATCTTTATGTCAAAACTCCATGTTAACAACTCTCTGAACTTAAACCTAACGTTAGCACCGGGTTCTCTTAATATCACAATTTGCTTTAAATCACATTTCCTTCTGATTATTGACACATGATATTAATAGGAATGACTACATATTTTTATGATTCTATGCTAAATTACCTGATGTAAACTTTGGTGAGTTTTACATCAGAGTCCTTCATAGGAAATCCCTGAAAATAACATCAAATTTATAAACGGTGGAGTGGAATGACCATAACTTGAGCTCAATAACTTTGACTGTTTCTTCGATTTTTTTCTTTGGTTTTATTGTAACTCTGCTACCTCAATTCATTTGACCGTTACCTCAATTCATTTGACCGTTACCTCAATTCATTGACCGTTACCTCAATTCATTTGACCGTTACCTCAATTCATTTGACCATTACCTCAATTCATTGACCGTTACCTCAATTCATTTGACCGTTACCTCAATTCATTGACCGTTACCTCAATTCATTTGACCGTTACCTCAATTCGTTTTACCGTTTCCTTAACAGTACACATATGCAGGATCTGAAGGATATCACGGCCGATCTACATTACGAAAATTATCGCGCTGAACATCTGGCAGAGGAGATGAAGAGTTCTCAGAGGGAGAGAAGGTAATTACAATCACATAGTTTACCAGCATACTTACACCGGAATTGTTTTCTTATGATATAAAATTTATGTTGTTCATTAATTTCTTTGCAATATCTTTGGACTATATCTATGGCCTAAATGTTCTACATATGAAGTATAACTTGTTTATTTGTGATAACCTGTATACTTTGGCTATATGAGAATCCATAACAGAGCTGTATGTTCTTGACTTAATTGGCATAAAAGGTGTTTGGATAAATAACTTGATTTAGAATATGTTATTAAAAATACTGTCTAATTTTCCAGCTTTATTTACTATACAATCACAAGGATCAATGGGTCCGCCACCCCAGTAGACATACTGTCAATAAGGGTTTTATTGTTATCGTTCCAGCAAACTTAAACGAGATTCCATTGTAAACATGGATGCTGTTTCGGAGACAGACAAGCTACTGCAGCAAAAGGAGGCTGAGGTATGTTTTCATTTATAATCTTGATTGAAGAATCTTCGGCTCTTCATGTGTTTGGAATTCCCATATGATGATTGAATGCTGTATCCCATACAGTTTGAAGTTAAAATTAATTCCAATGAGGGGGAATAGAATTTACTTCTTTTACCATATTTATACTAAATCTCAAAAGTCAAATTATGAAATTTGGTGTTCTTAAATTTTAGTTTTGATATATTAGATGTGTTGAATTTACACATGAAAACAGTTGCCAACAGAAAGGGAGAAAGTTCATCTCAGATTCTGAAAAAGTCTATTTATATGGTGTAAGGGGAGATAACCTGATCATTATAAATGAACTTGGTGCAGTCTTTGTTTTTGAAGAAAAATGAAACATAAAGACTTTATATTTGTTGATGTAACAAAGAATTTCATTGATAAGAAAACAAAATTGTGTGGTTTGTAAATATATTGTTTGTGAAAATAGATAACGACTCCAGGGTCCCCAACCCTAGTCTGTGTCATCTGTGAAACATTGGTGACTCTAGAAACACTTCTATACCTCCACAGCTCCTTAAATACAGAGCTTATCTCCTATCACATGTAAAGAATATATCTTTAATTTGTGGAATGTGTTAAAAATTAAAAGAAAATAGTTGAAATGATAAATTTACATCTACAATATGTTTACCTGTTCTATATTTTGTCCAGATACAACGGATGCAAGCTATGCTGGCCAAAATGCAGGCACAACTACAAAGTAATCAACCTCCAGCGAACGGGAAAGTGGCCAACAGCTAATCTGTCCCCACCTCAACACTTGTACACATGACAAGCTTTAACCATTGGTCCAAATTTATTACGGAATGGGAGCAAAACGCTGTATTAACTCCAGGGAGGTCTACTTGAGCTAGATAGGTTTTAATGACATTTTTTTGATCTGAGGTATAGGTTGAAGACAATGGAGGGATATATAATTCAAGAATGTTTACTGTCGACAAAATGTTCAACTTTACGAAGTGATTTCCAGTTGATAAGATAATCACAGAGGAGTGTGAAACAGTGGTGTGAGGGAAAAGTAGCCCTTCAGCTACATCTATTTACAGAAAGCAACGTTTAGGTATCTTTAAAGTGTTCACTGAAGTGAGATATTTATTTATAACTGAATTAATAGGAATAATTGTGTACTGTGATGAGATATCAGTAACCGGTAAATTATCACTGTTTTGATGAGAAATCAATTTTTCCTGAGATGTAGTTTGATATTCTTTGCTATTTAGCAAGAACATTTATTAAGAATGTAGAAGTCTAAAGAAATGAATGATTTCATTTCTCAAAATGTACTTCACAAGAAGAAGGAAATTGAACAGACATAAAGCCTACAGTTAATGAGGAAATGTCATACAAATTCTCTCATTTGATCAACTAGACATGATAAGTGACAGGTCAAAGATCACTATATGACACCCAAGTTTCCTCGGAAGATTTATCTCCCTTGTAAAATACTGCAGTTGAGTTATCTCCCATGTGGAGTACTGGGCCGTTTTCGTTTAAAAGGTCAAACCGGTCGGACCACTGTTGTTCGTTTATTAAATAAGGTCGGACCTAGTAATCTGATGCTGCTTTCGAGTGAGCCTTGACAAAGCCTTGCAAGGCCTGCATAAACATTTGCATGTCCGCCAGGATTTATACCCGAAATTGTTACATTTATAAACGGTCAAACCGGTTGTTTCGCATAAACGAACAGGCCCCAGCAGTTGAATTTTTTTCTCTATTTGAGTATCGGAGTTGAGTTATCTCCCTTGTGGAGTACTGCAGTTGAGTTGTCTCCCTTGACGAGTACAGATCTGAATATCACCACCGTCATCAGTAACAAAACACTTTACCAGATTAAACACAGTATTCCTCTAAATGAAAACCATTCATGTTTCACTGTCAATTACAACAACTCATCTTCATAACTTTGTTTCATTAATTTGGTGGATTGATTGATCAATATATGTAGTTGAACATTATGGGTTTACTTAATAAAAACAAATATCCAAAAGATGAGGAGTTCATCTCTCTCTGATATTTCTTTGGATTTTAAACAAAACAAATCTTTGATTTTCAATAGAAAACACATATCCATTATGCTTTTAGCATTGTGGACAAAATCAGGGGAAATTTATAAATAATTGTAGACATCGTGCCAATGGCTTGAGGATAACAATGCAAAACTGTCAGACATTTTATTTAATGATCTAACTTAAGTGCTTGTTTAAATAATTTCATATTAGAATATTTAGAAGGGAATAGGAAAACCACGGTACATATGTAAGAGGAATGCATTTAATGCTTGGCCTTATTCCTACAAGATACCACAGAAATGGTATTTATTGTTTAGTTCAACACCAGTTAGGGTTGGTTAGTTGAGAGTAATAAATACATTGATTACTACCCACAATATAAGGTCAAATGTCATTATGGATGAATTTGATTGGCTGTTGGATGTAAGGTCATGTGAACACTGTGCAATAATTTCATTGGAAGAAACTTCATAGAATGCATGTACCTTTTATGTCTACTTCATTTTGATTGGATGTTGTTAGTCACATGATTGCCAAACTAATCCTGATTGGTTGATTATGTGTTGAGTAAATGGCAGTAGATTGTATATAGATTTGTACAGTTGTTATAACACAGTAATGTTGAAGGTCTGGTATGTCGTCAAGCTGATTCATTCTGATCACTTCTTAGGTAGTAATTGTAGATTTCAGAAATATATTTATAAGACAATATACTGTCAAACACACAATACTTTTCATCTTTTGTTAAAATATATTTCATGGCTATGATACATACGGAATTTAAAAAGTAATAGTATATTTTTTGAAACCTCAGTTCCTGCCTTTTGCATTTATTAGAAAACTTTTCATTTGTCAAAAGTAATTTTTGATACTTGTGTCACATTTTTCGAGTGCCTCCAGTAGGAGTCGAACCCATGACTACAAATTGTAAGTCAAGTGCTCAATAGAGTCGGTAACAAGTAAGGAGATGTTAGTGATAATGACCTGACGTTGTCCTCGAATCTACAATGTAATATTATACACAGTATATAGGTTTCTTTGTTGATGTAACTGCGGTCACATGATGTCATCATACCAGACTTCCAACCATTAGTACTTTATACTTAACACTTACTTTATATGTATGTATTGTTAACTTATTCCAGTAATGTATGTCATTATGGTGCGAATCTGTCACACACAATATACATGTTGTAATTATTTTTACACTTTTTTTTCTATCAAAATATGAATAAATTATAACTTATTTGGTACCATAATCAATTTTTTACAAATTAATTCCCTCAATCTGTGTATGGTGAGATTTGAAGAGTATGAGCGATTTCTGCCTTAACTAGTCTGGTTGAATTGCCTTTAACACAGATTCTTGAGGTTTGGAAGAGACGGGTAGGAGCCCCATCCCTAATTGATTGACTCAAGGTACTTTAATGCCTTTTAGACATTTTTACTGTCCTTAAAATATTTTCCTAAATTAAGAACTGTAAACCATCTTGACCTAAAAGTAAGTAACCATGTACAAGATGTCCCTATTAGTGAGGAAACATCAACATACTGTCCCCAATAGTTAGGAACCATCAAAAATCTGTCCCCAAAATCATCATTTTTTTTTTGAATTCAGCTTAACACTGGCTAATTGTTTATGAATTATTCTTGAGATATGAAAGAATTGTAGTTGAAGTTAAGTTTGATTTTAATAAATGCGAACAGAAATGTTTTCAATAAGGGTTTGAAAACTGACGTTTAAGAAAGCAACACAGACAAAATCTTGTTTTGTAAAAGTAAGTTTACTTAAGAGATGTTGGAACATACTGTTTGTTAAGTATTGTTGTACACATGTCAGATTTTGTTCATTGTTGGTTTGCTATTTTTATATAGGTGTTTATTTGATGTCTTTTTCGCATGGAATTTAATTCAGTCTGAAATGTATTCAGTTACAGATGCAGAGAAATGTGTAGTGTTATAATAAAAATTGAAATTTAATTAGGAATTTTAAAAACTGAAACGATACAATGTGAATAAAAAATGGACCGAGTCGAATGTCAGCGACTAGGTAGCCCTGAGGGTCCTGGGTTTGAATCTCAGGCTGGCTGTGCATTTCCCTTACCCTTTTTACAGAATTTTAGCGAAGATCTATGTAAAGAAAATCCTTTTAAAAAGGCTATCTGAGTTCATATTGATCCTATATCAAAATTCCATAGACTATGTGATCCTAAAGACCAGAGTTAATTGTTCTCATGAAAATAGATTTGGTCAATACAGATTTCACAATTTCTTTTTGAATTTAACAAAAAAGGCCGGTTTATTTGTAACAAAAAAGGCCGGTTTATTTGTAAAACTATTGTTTAATATGAAGGGAGTCGGAAGGAGTGATACAACTTCACTAAGGAATCTCTGCACATACCTGATTTTTGTTGGAGTTGTCTCCCTTTTGAGAATTCTATATTGTGTAATGACCAGAGCATTACAGTTTATTCAATCCTGTACAATGTACACATTAACAATATCTCTAAATCAATCAAATTACCGCTTATTGACTTCAGATTTAGTGTGGACTGTTTTAAAAAGGCAGGTCATGTTACACTAATTAACACACTATAGGCAATTCACTTAATACTACTCTAATGGACCTCTGTACCACTGCAGGCAGAACACTAGAGATTCTACTGTTGGTTTATATACAGTAACCCCTCCCCCTATCACCTTGATGTCGTTTGGGATATGTCTGTAGCACAATTGGCCCAAGAAGAAACTTCCGATGACCAGGTAGCACAATGGTTAGCAGAATAGTGTTGCGATGTGGGATACAGGGTTCGAGTCCTTGCTCGTCAGCCAGAAATTTGACACCCAGAACACTGTTGTTGAGTACAGTTTGCTTTTATTATTTTTCATTAAAGTCCCTTAAGATCTTAGCATAAATGATTTATCAAAGCTAGGAGAGTGATGCAGGAAAAGCAGTGTCTAACCCCAGTGTACAGTCTATGCCAGTGGTATGGGGGTCCTTCATTAATTGGCGAGCTCCAGTAATGCGACTGTTATTTGATGCGACTTTGGGAAATTGAGGAAAACGTGAACGAATGTAACTCCTGGTCTGATGGTGTTAATCACATACTTAGTGACTACTTACTTAAATAGATTTGGTTTATCTTAGGATAAACAGATGTATATTACAAAATAAAATGTATATGTAGTATTGGATTGTTGTTGCTGTTTTCAATTGAAACGCATTTGCTCTTTTCGTTTTGATCAAAAACTTATTTTATCTCTTAATTATTTGAGTTTATTTCCTCTATATCTACTATTCGTTTCACCAAAAGCTGGTGATGCTGCTTTCAATTTTCCTTTCGTGTCTCGCCTATTGTTTTCAGCGCAACACATACATTTCCTTTATAATTATGGGGTTCAGCCAAACATAGCATTGCTTACATAATATCAACACTCGAGGAATGATCTAAATAACGTGGAGTCGGTATTGTTGTAACTGAAGTTGAATCAAAAACCATGGACGATATAAACGGGTTGGGATATTTTATAGACAACGATCTGCTGCTAGGAAATCTCTACAACTCCGTGTATGGGGAAATGTATTCTGCAAATAAGACTGTAAATGAAAACGAATATGATACCGGTCAGTTGTTACCCTCGGTTTAACACAATACTTAATACGCATAGTAATGCAATCATAACTGATATATAGGTTTATATATTTTAGTAACTAAAACACCACGAGTAGCTCTCGCCTTGATAAATACTCTATTTCGATTGATTGTTAGTCCGGGTTTTCAGTAGACCATTGAGAGTGTGTTTTGACTCTCCATAGTTAGTTTTGAATTTTGTGCTTAAAAGGACCTGTCCATATTGCATACATTTTGACATCCATATTCAGGCAAAATCCAATTTGACTTCTTAAATTGGTAAATGTTAATGGTCAACTGAAAGCCCCGAGGAAGTGACGGACATATATCAACAGCAGATCTAGACTCCTAATTTAATTAGTTGTTACTACAGGGAAATTGATAATTATATTTGCAATATATTCCATTGTATATTCATATACATATGTTATACATCTACGACAAAGGCACTATTCATACGCTCTCCGTGCGCTGAGGGTTTTGAGTTTAAGAATATCTTGCTCCGAGACTGGGAAAAATCGTTATGCCCTAAAGTTAGGTATTTCTTTTAGTCAAAATTGGGATGAACTTATAAAATAAAGAGAAATTCATCTTTCTTCCCAAATGTTATTTGTTTCTGTACACTTTGCATTTAAATGTTTCCTCCCAAACGTTATTCTATTTCTGGGGCATTCGCACCCGACTAAGAGTGTAAACTTTGTATCGATAGGTCACATTGTTTTCTTTCTGCAAACTCCTGTCCAAGTCAGTTGACCTAAAACAGAAACGAATATATTTGTAAATTCAAAAGTATATCTTAAGAGATAAAGACTTAACAAAACAACCAAAGAAGTATTTTTGTTGCGTTTTGAAGAAAAGTCCAGCGGCGTATCCCTCAGTCTCGAACTTGAGTTTTTTCATGTAGATATTGTCGTCATCATTTTAGCTTACAATGACAACTTACATTGGCTTACGTATTTTGATGTATATCGACTTCATAAGTGTCAATAAACTAATTAAAGTTATTTGATTATTGATTAGGAAGTATTGGTGTGATGGGCTAAGCATTTCAAGTGTAAGTCATGGAGTAGCGATCGATACTCCACGCTATCAGACGTGACCATAACGGTACGGTCGCTTTTGTATTGACAGAAGATAATCTTCAACACATTGTTGAGATCACAACCATATTCGAGAAGAGACCATATAACGCACCATGTTATAATAATCACTAGTAATATATAATACGGAAGCACCTGTTTAAACATTTATCAAGTCGATACTAAAAGCTAAACAAAGTAGACGTTTACTACATGTACGTCAGGTGGCCATTTCGTCCAGTTACATCTCC